GAAAAAATAAAGACAAGCCCCTTTGATGAAACAATAATAAATGAGCAAACAGAATTTATTTTGACTGTGTTATTTCAAAGCTGTAGCTCTGCCATTCTTTCAACAATGAAAGAAGAATGCTAGGAATCCTTTGGTGAAGATAATCCATTTCTCATAACATCATTGTGACTACAGGGATGTTTTGTCAGCCTGTATTCTGCTGCATTGTACTTGTAGGAGCTGAAATATAAAGTGATGGTCAAAAGGATGGTGCCAAATGACCACTGTTACTGGAGGGAAAATAGTCCTCTAAAGGATACTACATTGCTGATTTTTACAGATAGTCATGTTTATTGTCAAAACAAAATGGAAGTGTGCTGTTTTTGTGTTACGTTACTGTAAACATTTGTTTTTTATTGTAATAGCCCATCTGGAATGTACTAGAACATTTGCACATACACTGGCTGTTCTGTCACAGAACACTGATCACAAGCTACAGTAGTTCATCTTTGCAGATATAGATACAGTACAAACATTACAGGTAAAGAGTGAAAACTGGGCATTAAAATCCCTGCAAACTCTGAGTACAGGGTACAAAATATGCTGAACATTCTGTTTCTGTTTACTGCACTGGGGTTGCACATACGCTGAAAACAGAATTCCTAACATCCAGCAAAAGCTCAGTTCCAAAGCACACAGTCAGGCACTGACTACATGAATGCCAAGTCACAACATGAGCTAATGCAGAGCTTGACTGGAGACTTGGGGCATCCTGATGTCCACTCTCCACGTAGCAGTGCAGCTCTGAATTCTTCACAGACGTGGTGCAAAGTGAGTTGTAAAGGGATGTGCTGTACATCAGCTCAGAGCAGTGTCGGTTATGGGTGAAAAGAGGCTACAGATTTCAATATTTTCTTGGGTGACATTTGACTCAGTGATTTCATTCTTTCTTAGGACCAAAAACAAGAAACCAGTGTAGAGTCACACCCATCCTTGCAGGATGAAGGTCTTTTGCAGCAACGGTCAGTTTCAAACAGGTGTAGAAAGGGAGTACAGTACATTATGAAAAAAAACTTTGATATCTCTTTCAATACATTTTACCAGCACCACGGTTTGTCTTCATTAGTACTATACATAGTGTGGATACAGCTAGAACTATTCAGTGATGATACCATTTATTCTTTAAGAATTTAAGAAATATGAATTACAGTACTTCACATTCAACACAACAAGGACAGCTGCCATTCAACATAAGTAAATCAATCAATTTCTGTCAAACTCAGACAATACAACACAGAAGTTCAAGATTTATTCTGCTGCTGACAGCGTGTCTGGGAGGGCAGCAAGTGTCTGGGATCACTGTTTCACTCTGTCCCCACAGATATACCGCAATCAATCAGGAACATTGCTTAGCAGAGGACACTGCAGTCTAACAGATCGTTAGTGGTGTTTATTACTGGATTCTAATTAACCTGTTCAATCGTATCATTAATCTCCTTCTTCAACAAGGCAGAGTGTTCTTAATAGAAAACTAAAGGCCTAAGGCATGTTCTTCTTAATGTATCGTTGTCATTGTACTTAATGTAATGTCACCTTTAAAAGTTAAAATGTCCAATTAAAAAATAACCAAATCAGCCTGCAGATTGCTTAATCTATAAATAGTGCACATTTAAAACTATCACAATGCAAAACCACCAAAAGCATGGTTTCAGTTGATTTACTATAGTGCTCTTAGCCTGCTACTGCACACCTGCACAAGCTGGTCATCCATCCATGATGCACATTCACAACTAAGGTCATCTTGCCACTATTAGTGTGAAAGGAAAACTGCAACGAGGACCACTGCACAAGCATGACCGCACAGCCATTTGTAATCTCTCATCATAATGAAGTGTCAAAACCCACTTAATCAAAATCAAGTCTCTTCCCCAGCCTAGCCCATTCTGACACGCTTACTGTAACAACTGCACTTGAATTAGTCTCCCACCTCTGCCAAGATGGAGGTGTGAAGGCAGACGGGGGTTAATCTACACAAGCTGTGACTGAATGCACTGGTGAGTAGCCAAATTGTATGCATGTCTGTAACCACAATTTACAAACAAACTCTTTTCTGTAGCAAGTGGATTTTTGATTATTACATTCTATGTTAGAATTATCAGTAAGCAAATACCTATACCCCCATGAAGCCCTCATACTTCACTGATATATGAAGGAAACAGTGTACCTAGGAACGCATTCCCACTGAACCCAAGATAGAATTGTCACTGTTAGCACTGCTTCCCACAGAGCTCATAAGTGCAATAAGTGAAGCATTGCCACACTACAACGTGTAATAACATTTGTTGGCAAAGTTTAACTCATACAGTTTCCACCATAGAAACCAGAAACTGCAAATGGCAATAACCGACACCGCTCTGAGCTGATGGGTTATCAAACCCTAGATTATATACTGCAGTGCTGTGTACCTTTTAACAAAAATTGTTCCAGTAAATTGTCTAGTGGTATAAATGGGTGTAAATGCAAATCACTTTGGATAAAATAATTAGCTAAATATTGTATGTCAAGTTAAAATGTTTCATTTGATCAGTAGTTTAGCACCAGTTTGGTCAGAGATTTGTAATATGAAATTAAATCTGCCACCTTGTTCTTTATCCTGGTGCTATTGTGTCAAACCCTAACTGGACATCTAGATAGCTCATGCTTTTTTTCTGGTACTGCATGTATTTTAGGGTCTACTTCTGCAATAAATCAAATGTTAAATTAAATGTACTCTTAGCTGTAATTTAGTTAGTTTCTCCCCTAGAAGACAATATCTGAGCCAGTTCCCTATTAATGCTCCAGTGAATTGGAGAAAGCTACAGGGTTATAGTGTTATTTCTCTCGTGTCAGTTGTTAGTGAGATTCAGTGTTTGGGTGTGGTAGGTGGCTGATTTGTAGGCTCTTGTTTTCTCAACCTGGGTCTACTGTTTTCCACCCTCACACAAGTGTAGAGAAACGAGTTATTATAATGAGTGGCTGGCATGCCTTGAAGGAGAAAAAGGAAAAAGTAGGTCTCTAATGTTTCTCTCTAGTGAAACTGACTAGACAGTATTTCAGGAAAGCTGGAATCCTGAATTATGATATCTCTCTCAGAACAAACCTCTGGAGAGCCTGGCACTTTGAGTTAAGTCTGCTCATTACATCAAGCTGTTAATGTTTCCTAGCACATGGGCTCAGAAATTTGACATGCCTGTCACATCTGGGAATTTTAGTCCCAATGGTAAAAGAGTCTGCATTAATTAGTAGTACTCCTTAATTAAAGTATTGATGTTTTTGACATTGGTACATACAGTATACTAAAGTGATATTTAACCATGGCTAAGCCTGATTGTCTATAACTAGAGAACTGTAGAGAACTGTATTTGTTCAGTTTTGCAGGGGTATGTAATCGGTTTTGGATGAATTGCTTTTGGTTTGGTAAAAATTAAAGCCGTGGCTTTATATGACAACTTTCCCTAAGCGCTTCAGGGGTTAAAATCTTTTATTCCCTATTTCTTTAGAATAACCATCGTGTAGTACAGAGTTGTTTAGTATAATAAATGTGTATAGCAATGATCATATTTTATTTGATGCGAAATTTCAAAGAACTGTGCTTTATTTTAATATCTAGTTGTAGCTATTTGGATTTTACAACGTTTCTTTTTATCTGATTTTTTGACAATAATACACATCTGAAGCAACAGAATCCGTTTTTCCGCTTGAAAGGGGTAGTAAGTGAGTTGGGGGAGTGCCAGAAAAGCCCATGCAACAAGGCAGGAGTGTGAGGAGCCGCGGCGAACACCAGGAAAGATCGCTGCCCTGTCTGAGGGG